TGATGATGATGATGATGATGATGATGATGATGATGATGATGATGATGATGATGATGATGATGATGATGATGATGATGATGATTCGGGGTTCAAACACAGGTCATTGAAGCACTGGTCTATGATCATACATAATCGACAGCAGTAATAGTGATAATAGTAACATTCTTTCCGTGCCTAGTTGTCACGCCGTCCGAAGAATGGATGAGGGTCGCGGTCCTGTGAGTTTGTTTAAGCCTAGACCAGCGGTCGAGATTCCAGGGCTGGATTCGAGAAAATGACCTTCTGGTCAATAAGCTCGCGCCCTAACAACTGAGCTTTCACAAGCCCACTCGATCACCCAGGCAAATCATGTTCACGCGACGACCCCTTTGCTGAAGATGGTCAAGTATGGTAACTAGTTTTATCGCCTAAAAGCCTATGCTTTTGTCAGTTAGCACACTATCATCACTTTCTTGCTGTATAACCTGTTCATCTGAGGATAATTAAATCTGAATTTATCCAGCGATTTGAGTGACTACAGAAAATTCCTCAGAACAAGTTTCCAGGCTTCTAACAGATTTAATCACTTCCTTGGTAGGTGTATGAGAGAGGTTTAACAATGAATAGCGCTTTGAACACTGCATGATCCAGCTACCCTGTGACTAGCACCATGACGGTATCCAACTAAACATTTATATCTAACATGTTACCATGCAGCGGTTACTCCAGTTTGGTACACCCGGTTCATTTATTGATTCTCATTCTTCAACCTGTATGCACAAAGTTGTATCTCTGCTGACCTGTGGTTCATCTTTTTCCCTTCAGACGTTCTGTGATAAAATGAGCGAAAGCGAACAGTTTTACCAGCTGTTCGCTGGGGATCAGGCCGTTCCCTTTGAAGTAATGTAAGTTGGGTGATCATGTTTCCTTCGAAATTTAGCGTATGTCAAGCTGAAACCGGATGTTCACTGAAGAAATAATTAGCTTGACTATTACATCAGAGAAAGACATGAATCCGCAAAAGAAGAACTTAACACAGAGCATTCCCGCCTTCCTTATAAGGGGTCCTACAGTTAGCAAGGGAATCTGGCCTGCCCTATGTCGGCTTTTTCCTCTAAGGTTCAATAGTTGGTCGTGTATGACGGTCAAATCTGTCCAGGACTCACTACTGGAACGGATTCTCTTTAGAGGACCACCATTGAGGATTCACCATGATCCTAAGAAACAAACAGCAGGACAGGCGGTACTTGGATGCATAAAACTGAAAATTTAAACAATCTGAAAGAGGAGCTCAAGCACATAAAAGCCAAACGAAGACGAACAGCGTTCAAAAGACTAATCCGCTAACTATAGGCTTTCCCAAAGTCCCCACACCAGCTGATCTACCTTGGCTACTACCTCAGCTGGAGTTTGTGTACTACCGTTCAGCACTGCTGATCACAGCTGTGTTAAAGTGAACAACAACTGACGCCTGTTAACACCTCCATTTAGCCTGAATTATGCAATGGGTCAGAAGCTAGTGTCACCTCAGCAGATATCCGTAGTGACTTTGGAGAAAAGTGGATCAGAATGAGGAAACTTGAATAGCGCCAATTTATGAAATAAACCTCCGACCTGTGCGCGCCAAGCAAAGACATCGCTTCACATGAGGAAACTCATTTAATTCCCACATAATGATTCACCCTGTCTAAATTTGGACAAGGACCTAGCCATGTCACACTGTAGCATATAGGATGGTGCTTCTAAAATAAGTTTCTTAACTTTTTACAAAGTGTTCACAAATCACAAATAAGTGTGATGTAGGCTCGCGGTGAATGTAATCAGACCGGCCTCCTCGTAATATTTCGTATGAAGGTTGCTGCTACATTGCATCCGCCCGGACCTACCTTACGCCTGAAGTTGCTAGCTAACTTGTCATATGCACCGAACTCTAAAGTCATCCGGTTTTCTCGGTAATACTGAGGAAATCACTTCCGATAAACTGAAGCATCCTGGTACACAGAGGTACCCACGACAATAAATAATGACGCTCTCACCCTGGGAAATCTTAATTCATCAGAGTACGCATCTTTGATCTGGCTCCTTAGGCCCCCACTTATTTTTCAAGCCCAATCCCCCACTCCCCAAAGGAGAGAATCTCCCTTAAAGATTACTGGCCATTAACCTCACTGGCCTCTCCAAGAACATGTCACTGTTTTTGTACAGACAGGTTCTTCATACAGAGGTCACTGCTTCGTTTTTCATCAATTGTGCAACGCGTTCACATTATACGAAACAATGCATCCAGAATAGTTCATTGTGGTTAGCTTAGATGACTGCTTAAAGTTGGTTGGATTCCAACAAATCGGTGCTAATGTGTTCGAAGTAGCTAAACAGCGAGTGGTCTTGAGCGAGTAGATTCTATCCCCAACCAAACGGAAAAACGAAGGCTATCCCTATCGAAGTAGCATCACCCCTTCACTTAAATGGCACTTAAAAACATGCATTGCATTGTTTTTTGCTCATTCTCACCAGCCAATGTGGACAAAACCGTAACAACCGAAATAATCGAAACTAACTGCTACATAGTTTGCGGCTAGTTTACTGATATTCTACCGTATGAAGTTCCTCCATCCAAATGTCTGGTCAAAAAAACTATCTAAGCGACTAAATATAGATGGAACAATTGTTCTATAGTGTCTGGTCTTTCCCAACTTGGAACAAATGTACAAGAAGAATATAGTGGAATGGAACTGACCCACACGCAAAGTTCTTGTCTCTATTAGGGTGTACCATTACTTATGCTCTATCTCCCAGGTGGGATAACATTTGATTTGCCCGGCGACTGCAATGTGGCAGCAACATTCATGCGAAACGCTACAGACAGGCCGATTGAACTACTTTACAAGGGGTTTGCGCTGAGCCAAAGATGGTGCTGCACGCAAAATCTCGGCGGCGCTGTAGATCCAGAAGGTGAACACAGAGAATTTTGCAAGTCAGCATCAGGCCTTAACACGATGGCATAACAGTAGACACCTGCACCATTTACGTGGCTACCACGGAGGCATCAGCGTCAGCCGTCAAGTGCTCCGGGTTTCATTGCAGTAACAGGTGATACGGATAGTCCGTTACCACACCGTCAAGTTGGTATAGGATAACCTGGTAGTACTTAATTAACTCTGTGCTTATCCGTACTGTCTTCCTTAGGATGATGTCGGCGTGATTAATAATTAGATAACTGAATAAACTTCTTTCGGTCGCCAGCGTTTAGCTAATGGGTCCCTGAGAAATCGAGCTATTGCTCATTCTCAGACGTGCGCGTCTGCATGTTTTACAAGTCCACACGGTCTAGGCTCCATTGGGGGATTGAATTCTGTCAAAGCGGCTCGCTCGTTTTTGTAGCATTGTGAAATGTCACTTCTCCAAGCTTCTCAGACCGGTTTTGAAAGCCGTCCTCCTATGATCTAAAATGGAAGTTACACTGAAGAAGTTGCCACCTGGGAGTGAAACCTTGAGAGTCAGCTATTCCGGGCTTCGAATTTTAGTTAAACCATAAACAGCGCACTTTGGGACTCGAGTTTCGGCCATTCGTTCCAAGTCAATCAGCGATTTTGGTTTCGCATCAGACTCTATTCAGCTCCAACAGTGCTAGCTCTTCGAAGTACGTTGGTTTTCCGGATTCCGTCCTTTCATTTGGTCCGAAAGTTTTTGCACAAGTAGTGCAAGTGAAATCTACGCGCAAGTGATATATGCAACTTTCTGCACGGCTTGTCATCCGCATTACCTTACATCCATGCAGTTTAGGAAGCCACAGTTCTGTAATCCACTGGTTTTGGATCTTCTGGATGTTTTGCGCTAACCGTGCAGTGATATGATCTGAGCTCGAATATCCTCGTTGAGTTCCATTGCTGAATTTAGTTGACGACGATTAATCTTCCTGGTCAAACTATGTCAGTTTGACAGTGGTATCCTGCTGTCAGGTTGTTCATTGTGTTCACTTGTTTGCTGAAACATGCGTAGCCATCCACTATGAGAGGCACACCTATTGCAGTCAGTCCTCGGCGGCTCTTTTAAGCGGCGGCCCAATTGCTTGCCCATGGAGTGGAGAAACGAAGGCTTTCAGTTCAACGGTTTCAGAATTGGCAATGTTGTGGAATATAGGTAGCTCGGGTTCGCTGATTGGTTGTTGGTATCACTCACTCAACCCCGCACTGACGATGTCACCTTGATCGGTGATCAAACGTTTGCAATCCAATTACCAAGCTCGGCGAGCAAACCAACAACCAATTTTGGAATTCATTCGTCCAGTATTTTCCCTCCCCACAGCGTTTGTTGTGCAATATATCCTTCAAGGTAGCATTTACTTGTTTCATTGAGTGACATAAAAGTGTCCAGCAAAAACAGTTTCCCGAGTTCAAATCAGCAACCACACTTTTCGTCCACAGAACACCTCGTCACCAAATGAAGAGAAATCATTAGTGTGTGCACCGTGATGTTTATACGAATCGGTAGACAGCACATCTGAAAGTAGAACGCTCTACCTGATGTCACCCGACCCAATTTATAGCCCTTACTCATCTCATTCCTAGTAGTGAATAAACAAAATCCTGGTCTAGTTCATCATAATATGCCACAAGTACCTGACCCTTCATTTCCAACAAAGTCCTAGTGCGCTAAGAGGTCTAATCAATCGAAGTTGGAAAGTGAAGGAATTCCGAAAGTGGAAGACTTCTTAACTCCATTGGGTCAACTGAATACTTGTTAGGGAACCCAGTAAGTTTTGAGAGGTTGTTCCTCAAATGTGCACTCATTCGTTGTCAACACAAGATGAAACAAGTAGTTTCTATTAATTTCGTGTTAACTCCCACCTGAGCACATATTAGCTTTTTTTTTCTCGGATTCTCGATAAATAGATTCATGTGTTCTGATAGTCTGGTTTGGCATCTGGTCCTATTCACGGCTACGGTCTCTGCAGTGCATATTATTTTGGCTACGAAGAACAGCTTTTTGACTGTCAAGTTTGGTCATAGGCCGGAAAACCGTAAATACTTTGGTTCAGTGGTTCGTTTCAATGCGACACCCAAATACCTAATGGGAGCGTCTAGAAATAAGTAGTTTTGATTGTTCCCGATGGTAACACCTATTGTATTCATGGTTGGTCACTGCGCTTATGAACAATAAATCCTTCCCACTTTGCTCAAAATTATTCGGCTATGTACTTATATCTCCCAGAGGAGGGTTTGCACTTTGAGCTGAAAAATATCTACTCTTTCCGATAACCATACCGGGATTTGACGTGGTGACACGGTTATTTCGCTACTTTATTTAGAATAAATAGGATTGCTCTAGGCATCGAAAAACATTGTTAACGCCTGATCCATGGCTTCACCGCCAACTAGAGCACCCAGTTCCAGGATAGATATCCAGTAACCAAAGTACCTGTTTTCCATCTATAATGTATGAATCGTCGCTTGATCCATAGAGCATATGCTTCCACGCTTTGTTCTGCCTAAGCTAATCGCTAGGTAAATGATAACCAAAACTTGAGTACTATTCAGTTACACTGAGTAACGCAAATCGACCAGAGAGATTGCTTTTGTTGGTTTACTTTAGGTCCCACTGGCTCCCATGCTCTCGTGAAAATGTCCTATTTAGTTCCAAATTGCATCTCAACTTAGTGACCAAGTGCGTAGTTGAATATCAACGTAATGGACAATGCAAAACAGTTTCATGATGCGGTCCCCCACTCTTGAAGTTATAATCTCTGGTCGCAGTAGTGTGACATAACTCGTACCTGAATTGAGTTAGATGGTATACCTGGAGTCAAACGTACGATAATCCATAAAAGCGGAACCATGCGGGTACGAGCAATTTCTCTTTCATGGGGGTACTCCTCATCATCGATGATGCACTGTTAGCTTAAGTCCGAAAAGAAACCAGCCCCAGTGAAGAGGCAAGAACCTGTTCCATGTGATTGTTTATTTTGGAAGTACTAATGCAGGCTCTGTAATGGACAGGTACTTCGACCTACAAGGATTCCACCTTATTTATTTTATTATTGTTATTATTATTTATTTTTTTAAAGTGCTAGTTAGCTTTTGATCCTCCGTTCATCCGGTTCTCAAGTTTCAGACGCGGTGTCATATAACCACACCTACAGTTTTACAATTTTTGCTTTCTAGTGTCAACCACATTGTTTCTGAGAACCCGGAATTTTCCGAACAATTCAAGTGCCCTGTGGGATCAAAAATGAATCCCGTAAACCGGTGCTCGGCTCCCATTTGAATGGACCTACTTGACACAGCATTTTATGTTACTGTTTGTTTCACCCCTCCAAATGATTCTAAACACGAATTTCACATTGCATATCATTGTGCCCACGATAATTTGTCCATATATACCATTTAATAAACAAAGTAATCGTAATTGACAACCTATTTGATGTTATTTTATCCGGCGTGATCAGTGAAAATGCGTAAATACCAGATAAGAAAATGATTAAGCTATCATATGGTATGTCATAATCACAGTACAAATAGGCTCTCTTGACAAAGTACTATTTTCCTTGTTTGTGGCATCTTCGTATTCGAGGATACTTTTTTTCATAGTCACATCACTCTCGTTTGAACGGTCGGCCTCCTGTTCTGACGTAATTATTCCGGTGAGTTCAGACCAAAGAGGAGAGAAGCACTGGATTCGAGTTTCCTCTGATTGGAGCTCACCATCCAATGGCCGTTGCGGGATTTGAACCCCGGACATCTGACGTGCGAAGTGAGCGTGCAACCACTACTCTACCAACGCACGTTAGACGCATCCGAATTTACAAGCCTGAAGACGAACTGCTCACACTTGAGAGATGTGATTGGTGTGCCCGACTCATCAAACGACCACTCAATAACTGTCCTGGTTGTGACGATCAATTGACGCGCCAGTCAGGTAGCGTGACACACGCTTGAAACCCACTGGGCAACATTTTGGTTGCAATTTTGGGGTTTTGCGGAATAGGTATTTTTGTCCATAGTCACACCACTCTCGTTTGAACAAGAAGGATGCATATATGGTCGGCTAACGTCTAAGTCGGTAACGACAGGCAAATTAGTTGCCCTTGCGTTGTACGTTATTTTATACTCGTTCACCATCTGCTGGTTTCTTTATGCACTCCTGTTTATATTCCTTGATTTAGGCTACACTTTTCAGGGTCTACCGTTATTCCTTTGAAGTGAGCGCAATATTCAGCAAGCCTGATGTATTAGTAACTGTCTCTTGGTCCAAACTCTTACATGGTTGCTCTTTTTATCCATCCTTGATTGAGCTACCGCACAGAGTCGTATTTAAGAACTGTCTCTCGGTGGATGACCAAATACCATAAGAAACTCGACAGTCAGAGTATAAGATTCATGGACCCGTAACATTGCTTGTGTACCAGTTAGTCCAGTCAGTCAATTTATCAGCTGCTATACTTTCGATCACCGGAAAACGCGATAGCGTGGGACATACAGCCAAGCCTTGGAGGTAATGGCATGTTCAGTTAGTTCAAGAATCGGGTAGCCACGCAATGAGGGCGAAAGCTTTGATGCACGAGCGCCACTGGCTGCGCTATTTAGACATTTTTGCCAGTGTCAGTAATCATTGATGAGATGAGTCCCGGGGTTCCTGTCCATAGAAACGGCAGTTGCGGACCCAACTAAGTTTACTGCTTAGTGTTTTTGTTCTTCATAGCCAGGTCACACATCATCCACCTCTCGGTTGCTTCCAGTCAGCATGAGGTTGGGGAAAGAAAGCTGTGTGAGACAGACAGTCCTCTGGAATGCGGAATACATCTCCTAGCCATCGCAACCCATGAAGCCTGAGTAATTCTTTTATCACTGGCGATTTCCTCGTTCCTAAGACCATCTGGCGTACCTTAGCACTACTAATTCGGTGTTCCCACCAGGCCTGACCAATGCGTCAGAGATGCCGATGGGCACTTTGCTCCTGGACACGCCGTCAGTGAACGCAACACTTGCAGTCCAGGGAGAGGTACTGGAATTTGTAGAGCATTTTATGTATCTTGGAAGTTGTATTGGTTTCGACTGTAGTGTGACAGACGAGGTGAATGCACGAATCTGCAGGGCCCGGGTTGCGTTTGCTAATTTGAGACACCTGTGGCGTCAAAGTACTGTATCCCTGTATCTAGCTACAGTGCGGGTTGTTTTGTTGTATGGCTGCGAGACTGGGCCTGTTCGAGTAGCGGAACTGAGACGTCTTCAGGCGTTCGACGATCGCTGTCTCAGAATCGTTGCTCGTGTGGGTTGGTGCCGTCGTATCTGTAACGAAACAATTGGAAAGCAAGTTTTCGGTTGTGCAACGGGAACTTCCATTAAAGAATGTGTCCAGCACCAGAACCTGAGTTGGTTGGGAAATGTGTTACGTAAGACGAACCATCGTTTGCCGAAGAGTGCTGTTTTCCATGCCCAACTCAGAGCGGTGGAAGCAGAAAGGTGTCCAACCCTTGACCTCGCAGATGGGCATGAAGGAGATCACAAAAAGTTTGAGTGCTGTCGGTGCTGCTCGCATTCTAGGATAGAGACCGCGTGATGCCGGCGCTTGGTTGGAAACGTGGTAAGCTGTGGCTGGTAATCGATGCTTTTGGGGCTCTGGTTGTCAGTTTCTATCCAGATCACCTGATTGACTGTCTGGAGCTGTAGGCACCTCGGAATATTGTGGTAAGCTAGCACTAAGTCCCTTCCCCGTCAACCTTTATTCTGTTCTTCACAATAAGTCATGGTTGTACGGCAGCGAAGCATCGGTGTTGAACACCGATGTCATACTGTCGATGATGATGGTCGAACACTGACATCTTCCGTACTTTCTCCGCGCATAGAGGCCACATTTCTTATCCATAAAGCAGTACAGATCGCACTGCCGCAGTGTAAACGCTGTCCTTGACAGACAAACTGACGTGACGTCGGTGTCATAGGTGTCGGCGGTTGGCGGTGTCGGTTGCCCTGGCCTATCCGATTCGATAAGTAATCACATTTCCAGCCAGTCTATCGAAACTTACACAGCTGTCCAGGTAAACAAATTTTATCCACCACTTCAATTGTCTTGCCTGCAAGCATGAGCTGGAGGGTTGATCCAACCTTATCTTGTTCAAGCATTTTATACTTTGCAGGTGTGAAGCGCATGCCAAACCGCGTGGCAGAATTATTTAGGTTATTTACAATCGTATGCATTTCGGAAGCATCTGAACCAAGGAGAGCAATATCATCCGCATGCTCAATGACTGTGAGCGAACGTCACGGGAGCATTTCGACACCCGAGGATTCAGACGAAGGCAGAAGAATCTCAAGCAGCATATCAACAACAAGGATGAAGAGGAAAGATAAGTGAGGACAGCCTTGTCCTACACCGTTGGACACGGTGAACCCAGGCGAAAGATTCCCGTGTACTCGTACACGTTCACACTTCACATACAGTGCTCTCATAAGCTATAGAAATTCGGAAGAGAGCTTCGATCGCCAGATACCGGTCGAGAGAATTAAAAGCAGCCTCCAAATCAAGGAAAACGACCATAGTGGGACGTTTGAAAGGGTGGCGCTTAAAAAATCCGTCTCAGTGAAAAAGTTTGGTCGACGCACCCACGAATGTCTCCCCTGATAATCCATCAACCTGCACAAAATAATGCCAAAGTGCACCTAAGATGCGACAGATACCAGGCTGATTTTCGCATGACGCTCATACGTCCTTTATGGTAACTGGAATGACGGCCAAGGAGCTTCATTCGACTGGTATTGTTTTCGTTCCATTTCCTCTGCAGTATGCTTGTTGGAATGTTCACCAGGACCTGGCCACCTTCTTTGAAGAGTACGGGATGTAGACCATCTGCGCCAAGTGCCTTGTCGTGTTGGCGAATTAATATCTCGCCGGATTTCTGTTGTTGATGGGGTGCTGGTATCGATGTTGCATTCATGCCCTTCAGGTTCTTCCAGCGGTTGCGTTAAGGTGTTCAGCTCATTGCCCTTTGTGAATGAATGAACGTTTTGTCTTCTTCGCATACTTTTTCGCTGGCGCTTGTTTCCTTTTGATTGGTTGGTCGAATCAGCTGAAATAGGGCTGTTTTCTACAGCGAAAACCTTTTGCATCTCCCGGGCCTGTGGAATTAACCAGCGTTCTGTCAATCATCAAGCTCCTGATTATCCGGTGTTTGACGAATCTGAGTGCGCCATCCTAGGTGATAGTTGCCTTTGTGACGGCAATAAGATCTGCTGGTCTCGATTATATACAGCTTTCACCTAGTCGAGTTAGATGACCTGGACAAACAGTTCTGAAAGTATTGTTTCTGTAACTTGTCTCCATTCAATACCAAAACAATCTTCGCCATTCGCATTACGACACGTTTGCAGTAGCTTTCTAGCCATATCGGCTCGATACTCTTCAGCTACCGAGACTTTTCGGAGCTGATGAACGGAACTGCTCTCCTTTGGCAGGCGTAATGCTGACGGAAAACGAAGTGTCAACCGGGCCCGCACGATGGCGTGTTCAGAGTCAAATTGCGTACCCCGGAAGGAACGACAATTCTTAACTGCTCAGCATCGACTTCAAATCTACCACCTAATTGTGCTTCTTCCGGACTTAGTCATCAAACTTGGACATTCATATCACCCGCCAGGATTACTATATCCGGCACTGCATTGTACGATGGGTGGGGAGGGGGTGCGGAAGAAGGCTGATGAGCAAAGGGCCGCAAGGGTGAATGATACTTCCTGGTAGCCTAGACCGAAGAGAGTTTGGTTGAAGTACCCCACCTTGAGCCTTTGACTCAAAAACCTGACCCACAAGGCAGTGGAAAGTTGTAGGGTTTTGCTCGGGGACTCTGCCCCTAGCCTGACTCAAAAGTCTGAACCACAAGGCAGCGGTTGTGAGTTTTCTTGGGGGACCCCTCCCTGAGCCAATGACTCGATAGTCTGACACACTTGACTGTAGGGCGTCGACCTACCGAGATTATATAGGGAGTAGGGCATTACCGTGTCAGTTCTGATGTAAACGCGCAAAACAGTTGTCTTTTGAGCAGCACGGGACTCAATCGTATTGAATAATGCTCCGGTGGTCACGGTCAACCGTTTGGCGATCAAAGTGTGCAGTTCTTAAAGCCAAACTTTTCTAACCTGTTCTTCCTCTGGGGAAGGCAGCATCGTCACTTCGGCAAATATGGATATGCTGGTCGACTGGGGAAATCGTCTTAGTGCCTTCACACTCCTACCGCATAGGACAGTATGACTTTACCCCCTCGGAATACGATCACTCGCAGTACGGGGACTCGCTGTTTTTCGTCAGACTGCTCCCCGTTGGCCTTCCTGGAATAGTTGGGACTGAGTTCCAGCCAGTATAGCCTGCAGGATCATTGCAACACATAAGTTCGACCACCACAACAAGGTTACAGCCTTAGATCGAGATCACTCGGACGAATGACATTTGGCTGTGCAGTTTTAGAGCTATGCCCGTGTGTGTTGTAGCCGCTCGCGACCAGGTGACGCTCATGATACAACCACATACGCCCGTAACGTGTAGACCAGTTAGTCCAACCATGCTAGTAACCTAAATTTGCAAACGACGAATTATGTGAAGCGAACGAAGACAGACTACGTTAGTCACACACCTACTGCCACCTTCTCAACGTTGTAAAGGCCTCGTTCAGCTGTAGCACCCTTTCGGTGCCTAACTGCCATGCCACCCGAACGAAGCACGAGGGTTGGAATAGTGCCAGGTTGCCCGGGCCTAGACAGGGAAAGTCGAGTGGCAGAGGTCAAGTTCGAACCACGGACCTTCCGGTCAGTGAATTCGTTCTCTAACCACTTGAGCTATCTTTCCCCCAAGTTCCGTAGTTCACGCGAGGAACGCTCACGAAAGACCAAAGACCCAAGACCCAAACAGGGTTACACAGATAGTTCAATCCCATTGAGATAGGCAACAACTTTAAGCCGAAAAGGGGAAGACAACTGTCTGGTCAAAACAATGGTTATATACCGACCTCCTGGAGAGTTAAACGCGGTAATTATCCTTGACTCAGGGTATCCGGGCCTTGGGAGTACAAAACCATCAAGGAAGCCAGAAACCAAGGCAACCTCTGACACCGAATACAAGTTCGGTTGATCCCCATCCACATAAAACTGAACAGGATTCCCGATGCTTATAACCCACAGGGAATTTACAGAAAGTAAAAATGGACACTTGTTTGGAAACCCACAGAACAGTTTGTGAGCAGAACGCAGTAACAATCAAGAAGAATCAGCCACTGACTGACGATATGCATGACCTGGGCTTTATCTTACAGATATCTCGACCTCTCTTTAGAGACGCACCTGAAAGACCATATACTGTGGCGTCATCAGCATGCTCAGCATTGACGAGGCCCAACAATTGTCAGTTCATCAATCCACTACCAAGTAGAGACTAGCAAAGTCTTGAAAGTCCACTTTTTTTTCTTTTAAGCATAGTGAGCTGCATTGTGTTCGCAAAAGCGCATAAAACGAGGGCACCTGGTTCACGATTCGAGGTACGTCGGATTTCCTGAATCGAGATCTCAACTATTCCTGATTCATTAAGCAGTTGGTTACCTATAACCGAAGCTCAACTTGACTTTTCCGATCCCTAGAATTTCACGATACAGAAACCTGGTTTCCCCAAGAGCGAACGACCGAGAATGCACCAAATCCCTACGAGTAATACCGATTCTATGAAAATGGTCACCAACTATAAGCACATTAACAACTGAGAAAGGTGAGTAAACCGGATCGTAAGTGGACAGCTATCAAATCAGTGTCTTGGCCAAGGCTCTGATGACGCATGATGTGCATATGAACCAAGACGGCGTAAACGATTAATCACGTCGTCATTTTAGTGACGGGAACGCTGAAACAAAATGCGGTGAGCCAGATGGTGGAATTTTCGAAGCAGAAACAACAGTCAATTATCACTCAAGGCCGTGTCGGTGAGTGAGTCGATGCGAAAGTATGATGTAGGTTGTTAGGAGTCGAACTAGACGACTGCGATGTGACCGTGACCAAGAATGATCACGGCTGTCACTGTTAGATGCGAATTATGTTAACGGCGTGCTAACAGAGCTTCAGGGATTGTGAAACGACCACTGAATGTGTTCAGGAAAGTGGGCTGTCAGATGTCAGTTTGAAGTGAGTTCAGAGACTTCCTTAATCTCTGTGGGACGAATAGGGCGTCGCGCTCTACTAACGGACGCGAGTCAAACGCAGAACGTGTACATTGTTACGGTGGACTGAGAAAAAAATCGCTCAGTTGTAGCACCCTTTCGGTGCCTAGCTGCCGTGACACGGAGGCACGAGGGCTAGGATACTGTCAGGTCGCCCAAGCCTAGACAGGGGAAGTCGAGAGGCAGAGGTCGACTTCCGATCAGTAAATTCGCGCTCTAACCACTTGATCCATCTCGCCCCGGTGGAATAGGGCCCAAGGGTAACGAACAGGCTTCGGGTATTCAAATTTTATTGAGGAAATTAGGCCCATTGATCGACAAACGAGGATTTTAGCAGAGGTAGGACGGAATGAACTCAAGGAGTTATTCGAATACAGACTTCATTCGAACCACGAGTGTACGACTCGAACCAGCGAAGAAGCCAAGCGCTATGGGCTGTTGGTATTTTCCCGAAGCGTTTACTCCGCTGCCGAATATACCCGTGTAACGGTGATACTACTGATGGGGAGGCACGCGAGTAGTACGTGTTGCTCGTAGAATTTCGCTTTGCGTCTATTGAAAAAGGGAGATCTGTTGCGGAATTCGTGGATCACTTTGTAACATTTGCCTGGATTTGACCGACGAATGAGTGGAGTCAATGAATCTCCAGGAAAGTTCAAGAAGACTCTTTCGGGAGAAGACGGGTGTCCAGTTTTTGTAACTAAGATGCAGATTAGAGTTTTGCTTCCCTGTTCAATGGTCTGTAACCGGTCAGTTGGCATTTCCGAATAAATAACTCCGCAGCGAAGGCCTTCTTGTTTTCACCCTTATGGATTCCACATTTCTTGAGTAAGGCAGAGAACAACAGCCAACTCTGTCGCCGCAAACTAAATTCAGCAACGCGTGGGTAGTGCATGATGGCTGTCGTGCTGTTTGCTGGGTTGAAGAATTCAGTTGCAAGTGTTCCGTTACATATCAATCGATGCGAGTACATCAGTATTGCGCCTATTTGTAGGAATTGAAGAATGTTGACCCGTTTATATACGCCTCGTTGATACCGTGAGACCTCCGACTATGTTTGGTCATTCAAAAGAACACAACAGGTTTGACAAACGTCCCACAACTTTTTAAATAAGAATGAGTAGAAGGGACCAATCCTGATAACCCAATAACTCACCTAAATACAGATGGGCAAACTAACTCTTGTGACTTAAACTCATGAGCACGACTACAGGAGAATGAGTCAGAAGTGTGACCTGTCGCACTAACAAGATCGTAACAAGTGCGCACAGCAGATGCTTCAGAATAGACACCTGAAAATTGGCCAAATGGACGCCCAGGGTGATGACAGCTTCTTTGTTGTGTAGTTCGCTTTCGAAACGAGACTTCGGCTCCGAGCCCTTTGATAACACCCGGCCTACACGTGACCACCCCGAAAAGTACCTGCGTGAAAAACGGTCTCAACCGGGACCAATTTTGTCATTGAGACCATGTGGTCTGACCGCGGTGCAGGACTTACCAGTGTGCCAGGATTCACGAAAAAATTGAACAGTTCTAGGTGAACTACACTCATTTGTATGCCCATGTAGTTTTTGACGGGAGACTCACGTAAACCCAGCCGAATCTATCCTTTGTCATATTCTTAATCAGCTGAATGTGTTGCTGGGTTCCAGGTGAGTCTCCCGTAAAAAGTCAAATTGGTATGCAAATGAGTGTAGTTCGCCAATTTCGCGCAACTCGGATTGAAGTTGAACATACGGTTGACGGAGACTCGTGGGCTGTGCCTATCTGATGATCCCCAAGGGCGAAACCGGTTGTGGACTGTTGAAGTTTTAAGCAACCTCATGAGTAGTGTATTACGTCGGAATAGTCATACTTTACATGCAACATCTGAGCGAACATCAAGTTTGTATTGTCAGTTTTTTGTTTTCTTAGGTGGAGAAGCTTTCACCTAAAACGAAATGGCCTGTTACGATGCCTAGGTGACGGCTGTGGAGCTGAACCACTTGCTTGCTGAGTTCTATGTACGAAATGATTCTCTGCTACCACAGCAATTATTTTTTCAAGCAATGCACTGTAGAGAGTGGACGGGAAAAGCCATTGGAATCAATCTGTTATAGTGCTCTGATGAAATAAGGATTCAGACAGTCACACATCGGTGGCATATGGTCTACGAGCATAACTGAAGTATCTTAATGCCAATATCCAATTACATCATCTTGGGATCTCGATCAAAGAGACGGCAGTTGTAAGTACGACCAGGTTCACTGGTGAAGGTCTCCTAATGTGTTACCAATTAGTGGATGACCACCGTTGGATCTTTGCTCTTCCCTTACAAATATGCCTGTTCCGGAAGATCTGAGTGATAAATACGGTCCGCCCATAAGCGATGTGCACTGTCTAACGGAATAGCCTACTGGTTGTTACGTTGTCTATCCTGTGCGAGATCAATCTCCTCTGCTAACCTAATAGGGCAATGGCGCAGCCGTAGAACCCTTTCGGTGCCTAGCTACCATGCTATCCAAAGAAAGCACGAGGGTTGCCAGGTTGCTCAAGTCTAGACAGGAGCAGTCGAGATGCATGAGTGGTGTTCAAAACACGGACCGTCTGGTTAGAAATTTCGCCCTTGACCATCTCGAGCTGGGTAATGCTTCGGAGACGATGATGAAATGAGCCGGTGCGTCCAGCTATCACAGACAATTACGTCGTCGTGAACTTTGGCTAGATGATTAGCATAAGAATACCCAAACATAAACTAGGCAAAAAGCGGGAAAACCCCTAAACATCCGACAGAGACCCAAGCTCGACTACAAAAAGGGTCACAGAAAAAAAAACGAAAAGACCCCCGATGATCCTAGAGGAAAAAGTACACAGTGAAAATGATGACATGGTGAGATGTACAGAACACACACCTCGAGTACAGGTTCAACGACGCGTTCGGTAATATAACTTGTCATTACATCACAACGTAGATCCTGCAGAACGAACACTCCAAATAATTGATGACAGAGGTGAGGTTTTCAGGAGGGGGAACGGGCCGAAGTTCAATAACTGGGAATCACATTATACCATTAGGTGGCGGTTGTTCCACCCGCGCTCGAACCTGGATCATCCTTCTTTGTGTCGTCTTTCTTCGGCGGGGTTTTGTCCTTGGAAGGAGCTTTGGACAAATCACTGATTGCCTTTTGCACATCCTTGTCTTTCGTGTCCACACCAGCCAGACCCTGTAGGACAGACTGAAGAAAGCCAGTATCATGCAACACATCCAAATCGGAAGTCAGGACACCGGTACTTGCAGCCCCAAGCAGAGCAGCAGCAGAGGCTAATGTACCACCTCCTGGCGCGGATGAATCCGGTTTTTCGGGAGCTGGCTGGTCCACGTCCATAGCAGTAGCTCTAGGCTCACCCTGTGCAAGAAAAACAATATACGGGTAATAATGACGTCTTATATGGAGTCTAAAGACATAAGACTACGCCCATTTGTCCGTTTATTACTCTTGAGTCTATATCAGTATGCACTCACCAAACTCATTATGCTTGACCTTTCACAGGGAATATTTTTGAGGGGAACAAGGGAAAGTATGTAATCTCGAGAGTGAAGGCTACGGGATGTGGGAATCAGTACTGATTCTATTCAACTCCGGAACAATGGACAACATCAGACTCGATTCAGTTGTGCCCGTAGGGCCTGTATTGAGACTGATCGAACGAAAATTCTGAACCAACACGAGACAAGGCCTTTGCTAGATATGAAAAAACTGAATAGCCGGAATGATAATCTCATCGTTCCAGTACCATCAAATGTTGTCATATGACTGAAAGTAGTCTTATCTAGGCTATATTCTCAAGTCTAACGATGACCCATGCCTATTTTAGTAAGCTTATGATCCGCAGATATGCGAGTATCGGAAGTCGGTTGTGGTATGAAGACCTCTCTTAGTGAACCCAGTTAAAATTCCACCTTGAAAAAAAATCTACCTCTGCTACCAGGGATTTTCGGTGCCAAGTCTGAGACCTGGCTCAAACTCCATAGTATTCTTGTTGTATGGTCATATGTTGGAAAAGCTTTCCTAACAGTCGAATAAGACTATCACACAAGTGGCCAACGACTCCGTGACAGGGAGAAATACTTCAGATAGAGCAATCACCTGGTTTCCCCAAGAAGTTGCTATGGTTGGTTTGTCCCTGTCCCTGTAGTCAACAGTTAGATACTTGATAACCACAAACGATGGTAACACCATCAGACACGTTCCGAAGCTGGTGAAAACACGACCCATTAATAAATTCAACGATTGTCTATCAAACCTCTCTGAAACGAGGTCCAGATGACACCATTGGTACTGTGGAGGACGTGGGACAACAGAATCAGACAAAGGATTTAATTCTTCCAAACATAAGGTGGAGCAAATGTGAGGGTTTGATGTCCTAATGAAAGACGCAGCTCAATACCGATGTGTCTGTTTTTCTTGCTTATGTACAATCTGACAGTAAGACACCAGTCACACACCTCATACGGGGCATGGCAGTAATAGGCCTAAAACATTCAGTACTAAATCAGTTGATTTGTTTGTTCAACTAGTAACAATTTTTGTAACCCGTAACTCACTTTTTCCATGACAGTGTAAAATGGATCGGAGTATGTGCTGTTGCAAAGCCAAATGACCTACTAAATAGTGGTACAAATGAACAACAGCCGCGAATAGAGAAGAAAGGAGTTGAATTTGTGATATTTATAGAGCCTTGCCTTCGTTGATATAAGCAACTCGGCAAACAGTGGTTGCCTACCTGTTGATTTTCGCTGAGGAGTGCAGGAAAAGTGTGAGAACGGAGCAAGGCCGATGTTGCCTAGGGTTATGAAGAATTAACTGAAGACTCAGAGTTCAATTCCAGCAGCAGAACAATCAAACTAGAAGCATAGACTCTGATCATTGTCCTGGTGATGACTGTTCAGACAGACGATGCATTTGGCTCACTAGGTGCCAGAAAGCAGCCTGCGACAAATAGTAGTCAGTAACAAGAGAGAGGCACCCTCATCCGTGAAAAAGAACTTTTAACACTAAGACATTCAGACCCGAGTGCACCATGATAAGATCTAGTAGGAGAAAGGTCAACCGAAAGCAGCCCACAAACGGTGATGCGTTAAGTCTGAGTCGACGCATGTGGGCTGACAAACGGATGTATATCGTGTATGTAATGTACACAAGAGTATAATATATAATACACGAAACTCGATGACAATATATATATATGTATATATACATTTAAAGATGTATATATGGTGGACGAAACTTGTCCTAGTGAAGTGAAGGTAAGCTACCCACGGGAAGCAACAGATATGAATAAGGCTGCCCAACCACAGTGGAGAGTATTTGAAAAAGTTGGGGATGAAAATACGCTTTATGCTAAGCAGCGGTTGATTTATTGGACGCAGTTGCTGTGTGAACATGAATACAGGAAACCAGGAATGAAACAGGAAACATGAAAAACTCTTCAAGTGACAGTGAAGCCTACATCAACGCACCTCCGGTTTTGCACTTGTTTCCTTGGCCATGGGTTCCGTAGCTTGCTGCAGGGACATCTCAAGTGCATATGCGATCTGCTCATCTTCTGTCATTGCAGCCAAATCAATATCCATTGGTAGGGCAGACCCGGGTGGACGAGCAGCCGGTTGCATTGACATGCGTAAAGCCTCTTGAAGCATGGCCTCTTCGGAAGTACCCGAACCGGCTGAATACGGCAACATGCGGCAAAGAGTGAAATTAGGAAGTTGATATTTGTTCGATGCAGAGAACATAGACAAATTGACTGTCGTCTGAGCAGTAAGGAATGGTACGTACGTATGTTCCAGCATACTGGAACTCATTAGTGTATAGTCCATTTGTCACACTTCTCCGAACATCCCAGAGTGAATTTCTAAGATAACTAGTTGAAGCGGCAAACCTGGAGCTGGATAACCGAGAGGTAGCAATTGTATAAGGGGTGTTCCGGTAAACAAACCTTTTCAGTTGCACTCCTCGGTTTTCTCAGACCTTCACCAGCTAACTAATAAGTGCTACTATTTAACCTCCAAATTTCTGTCGAACATAATTTAACTGTTTTCCGTAGAGATAACTGGTTCCATAGTAAAATAATTTTTTACAATTTCAAACTAGGGAAGTCCATGAGGCCGACAATCACAAAGATACCTTAAGTGCTTACTTAGTTGTCTCATACGGAATTCACTTCCTATGCTTACATGTCAAACAAACAAAGCCGAAGTTGCGTTTACCGCTCATTTGGTGTTCTTCAGTCGGCGATCAAACACATTACCTCACGGATACCAAAACAGTATTGAGGCAATTCAACTCCATCTGACCTTTGTCTCGCCCAGAAATTCCGTGAATACCACAGATGTGCTTGGAAGCAGTTTCCAGCTAAATGGAGTTTTCATATCGACTGACAGAATGCGGCTAATGAGAACTAGCGTGTAACCGTAGACCGAACACACTAGCCCTTGAAATACTGTGCTCGTTCACCTAGAGATCACCTTGGATTGAGATGTTTCACAAAGCTAGTTTTCCCAACAGTTATCTAAGTGCGTTTAACCGGGCAAACTATGTATAAAAAAATCATTCAGCTGTAGCACCCTTTCGGTGTCTAGCTGCCATGCTACGCGAAGCAGGTACGAGGGCTGGCATACTGCCAGGTTACCCAAGCCTAGACAGGGGAAGTCGAGAGGCAGTGGAGGCCCCTACTCACCGTCTTCTCGTGGCAGTGTCCTCACCAAACTAAGGCCATTGTTGAGCAATATAAGCTGGTTGGCGGTCCAGCGGTTGTACTTCTAGGGGATGGCTAAACCCTGATTCTAAAACAAAAACGGATAACATAAATCAGCTTCAGCGAATGGAGCAGTTGAGATCACTTTCTGAATCGAATGGCCAGGTTGGTGTTGTAGACCCACTGTTACCTGCTGCCTTGCAGGTTGTACTTGGTTGTTCGAAAGGCAGATGAATTCGGTGGCTTCGTCGACGCGATCGGTGGAAAATCCCCACAAAACTATAATTAGTTTACTGGTTAGTGTCTTCAGAATTTGTTGCCAGGTCATATACCGTTCACTCCTTGGTAGCTTCTACTCAGCACAACGCTGGGTCCTCTGGTATGTGAAGTACATGTCCTAACCAGCGTAATCTACGAAGCGCGAGTAATTCACCTATTATGGGAAAGTTCCTTTTTCCTAAAGCCATCTGGTGTACATCAGTTCTACTAATTCCATTTTCCCACCAGAACCGATCAATGCTTCAGATACAACGAGGATCGAACAGTGGCAACTTTCGTATAGCCTTTGCGCAGGCCAATTGAGTTTGCTGGTAATAGCTTCCATACTTCGCTGCAAAGCCATTGTTTCACATACGTTTGACGAAAACTCGAGGAGTGCTCCTACCTGATGGGCTCCAAGAAGGACGAAACTGGTCGTCGTCTTTCAACAAACTTGAGGAGATTTTCATTTTGAAAGGAAAAGCTTGATCACCAGACACTGCCAAAGTTTCTGGCGATCAACAGGTCAGGAAAAACGACCAGAGTGGGACAGTTGAAAGATTGGTGCTGTTCAAGGATTTGTAAGTATCAGGAAGGTCAGCTTCTTGAAAGCAATAACCGCTGAATGTCCGAAATCTATTGAGCTCCTTAACTCCACTGACCGGGCAGACGACGCCCCCTCAACATACAGCACGTTACAGCCTTGTATGAAAGCCAGACAGTGTGAGTCAGCGTTAGATCAAGGTCAGACAACGCCCCCACAATATGCAGCATGTGACAGCCTTGGATCAATACCAGACACGTTGGATCAAGGTCAGACAATGCCCCACCAATAAAATAGCTTGAGGCCGTTGTATTTTCGCGCTCATGCTCTCGCACTCTCTTTTCGTAATAAAGCTGTTGTGTTCCTATCGGAAAGCCTTTTTCTGGTCATAGGCGTTAGAGCGGGAAAAGCAGTCAGATATAACAGATTGGCGACGCAGATTTATCCTAGTTTCACAGCGACCTAGCCTCCCTCGAAATCTCTAAAAAAAGAGCGTTCAGCTGCAGCACCCGGTGCCTAGTTGCTATGCCACCAGAATGAAGCATGAGGGATGGGATACTGCCAGGTTGCCCAAACCTAGACAGGGGAAGTCGAGAGGCGGAGGTCGGGTTCGAACCACGGACCTTCCGGTCCGTAAATTTGCGCTCTAACCACTTGAGCCATCTCACCCCCAAGAATCTGTAAAGATATGGTCGATGCATCCACGACCAGAGCGAAACCCAGTTTGGTTCTCACGAATCTGTTTCTTCCGATAATCGATCAACCTGTAGAAAATAATAAGAGATCACCTTAGGTGCGACGGATACTAGGCGGATACTGCGATGGTTTTTGCGCGACGTTCTTGCACCTTTTTTGAAAACTGGGATGACGGTTGAGGTTCATTCGACTGGTATTGTTTCCGTCCCCAATCTTCTGCAGTATGGTTATCAGACTGTTCACCAGGACTTCGCCACCTTCTTGGAACAGTGTGAGATGCAGACTATCTGAGCCCGCTAGGTTGTTCCAGCGGTTGCGTTAAAGTGTGCAGCCTATCGCTAATCAAGATTTTGTGAATGATTCAACGTTCTGTAGCATACTGTTTCGCTGGCGCTTGACTTCTTTTGATTGGTTGGACGAATCAGCTGAAAATAGGGCTGTTTTCTACAGCGAAAACCTTTCACATCTTCTGGGCCTGCGAAATCCACCAGTGTTGTCATTCTTCATGCTCTTGATTATCCGGTGTTTGAGGGATCTTGGTGCGCCATCATAGGTCATAGTTGCGGTTATGGCTTCTGTGGCAGCAATAATATCTGCTGATCTAGATCATATCCCGTGCTAACTTAGTGAGTCGGATGACCTGGACAGACAGTTCTGAAACCTGACAGCATAGCTTCTCCCACCCGCTTTCATTCAACTTCCAAGCAATCTTCGCCATATTACTGTATGTTTGTAGTATCTCTCTAGCTGGACCAGCTCGATCCTCTTGAGTTACTGTAACTTGTCGAAGTTGATGGATGGAATTGCTCGGCTTCGGCACACGTGGTGGAGTGATAACTAGACCGGTATTAGCATGAACGGAGTGAAGTTACGTATCCCAGAAAGAAAGCGAGTGCTTAATTGATGCTCCCCATCCGTGACTGACAGCCGCATGGTCCTATTGTGTCGATGGCGGCTTTGTGTTTTGTGGCCTCCGAGTAAGTCGATGTGAGTGTTTGTGCTGGAAGTTCGTACTGGACAGAAACATACGATGTTAGGCACAACGAAGTCAATCTCCATTATCCGTTCGATGAGTGCCAACCTCAAATCTACCACCTAACTGTACTTCCTGAGGCCTTGGTCGTCCAACTTAAGCATTTACATAACTCGCAAGGATCGTTCAGCTGTAACACCCAGTGCCCAGCTGCCATTCCACTCAAAGTAAGCACGGGGGCTGGGAAAATGCTAGGTTGCCTAAGACTAGACAGGGGAAGTCGAGAAGCAGAGGTCGGGTTCAAACCAGGGACCTTCCGTTCAGTGAATTCGCGCTCTAACCTTTTGAGCCATCTCGCCCGCAAGGATGAATATAGCTGTTCTGCGACAGATCTCCCAGACTCAAAACTGCAGTCTATCGAAGCGTACGCTGATACAATAAACAAACACCGTTTGCAGCACCGACCTGCATTGATCCTAACTGAACCAAACAACCGCACAGTGCAAGGACGATTGTATACTGGGATACAAATCAGTTAGAAGTTTTCACCTCCGGTACCACGAGCCATTGCATCAGGATAACCAGACACCCAGTGGGTGGGATTTAAAACATTTGAGCTCATCCTAGACAGCAAGAGGTACATGACCGAAGTAGGGTCGCGAATCATTCAGTTGTAACACCCTTCCGGTGCCTAGCTGTAATGCCACCCGCAGGAAGCACGAGGACTGGGATACTGCCAGGATGCCCAAACCTAGACGGGAGAAGTCGAGAGGCAGAGGTCGAGTTCAAACCACACACCTTCCGATCAGTAAATTCGCGCTTTAACCACTTGAGCCATCTCACCCAGGGTCGCCAATAGGTGTTTTGGAGACAACAAACATCCACAGAAAGAGAAGGCACGGTTTTAGAAATAGAAATTTGCTGCCCAATTTGACAGAGAGCACCGACATTAAAATCCCCAAAGTGGATAAGAGCCTCTGGGTTTAGTTAGGGATTATTTTGGACTATTTTGCTGAGCGACTGTTCAAATACAGAACAATGGTTAGGAGAGTGGAAACTGAGTTGATTGCTATGCATCTTTAATTTGACCGAAAAGTCTGAAGCACAAGGGTGTAGGGCTTCGTTCAGGTAACCTAATTCTAGCCACTCATCCAATGTCTGAACCGCGAGGTGGCGGTTGTTAGTTTTCTTGAGGCACCATTCCTGAAGCCACTAACTCAATGGTTTGACTCCCGTGGCTGCATGGGGCTGGTCTGGATTGAGGGCAAACGAAGTAACGCATTATTGCCTGAGCCCTAATGCGGCTGCATACAGCAGGTGCTTTTGACTAGCGCCAGAAGCTTTTATTCTTCTACTTCGATCATAATAAATAATGCGCCGGCACTCATGGTTAACCGTTAGGCGATCAGAGTAGTGTGGCTTTCAGGAGCAGGCTTTTCCAACCCAAGTTTTATCTGTGGAAAGCATCAGCGCCGCCTCCAATTAGATCTGCTAGTCACCTGAAAGAAATACCTTACTGCCTTCACCCTCCTATTGCCGGGGACAGTACGACATTAAGTCCAGGTCACCCCGTAATACGATTTCTCACAGTGGGCTCCAAGTCAGCCTTCCTGCTAAACCTTACG